ACTGCTAAAACACCCAAGCATCACTATGGCACTAAAACGACAACTGATAAATTGCATGTTTATACCAACCCTATGCTACCAATGCCAAACCTGGTCCCTAACAAGAGCACAGGAGAAAAAGATCAAGACGTGCGAAATGAGATGCTTACGTAAGGCTGCCAATGTCACAAGGAGAGACAGAGTTCGAAACGAGAACATTAGATCAATTGTAGGAACCACACCATGCCTGCAATACATAAAGAAGCAACAAATAGAGTGGTTTGGCCACTTGACGCGAATGCAAACCGACCAACTGCCTCTACGAGCAGACAACGAACAACACTACTGCCCTAGAGCAAGAGGCAGATCGAGAGTACGATGGATAGACAATATATCAGAGATCCTGAGGCAACACGGACTAACAACAACACATGCAACACACCTTGCCCAGGATAGAAAAAACTGCGACTCCCCACTACGCTGTGAGGCAATTGTGGACAAGACAAGACAAGACTAAAACTATACATTCACGACTAGGTGGTGAACTGTTTAATGACAAAGCAGATGTGATTAGGGCCCTTCGGGAACAATCAGCTGAGTCAGAAGCGAAACAAGATTATTATGGCCTAAAGAGAATAAGACACCTGTGTATAACCAGGGGGTCTAGCAGGCTCACTACACTCAGGGAAAATGAAAGACGGACAAAAAACCGGATTACCTCTGGTACCATTAGTATTGAAACTCTCCTCAGGCTGCTGAGGATGAGGACGGAGCACGAATGGGAATGCCCCAAGTGCTGTGATGTCAGTTTCCGAATCAGCTCAACTCAACTCAACTGAAAGGGATAACGCCTTATTACAGATTTTCGGAAACAGAGCTTTACGATGAAATCTTTGAACTCAATAAAAACGCAAACAGTGAGGAAGGCAGAGTTAGAGGCCAACAATAAAATGCATATATGTTTATATCACATCGATACCTAGCATCATGAGGGCTAATAACTGATGCAACAAAATGTTGAATGTTGAATTAGGAATCGAAACATAGCACTCGGGACACCCTCATAAGCACCCCGACCCCATCTTCAGCAGCAAGCGAAGAGTTCCAATCCGATGGTACTAGTAACGGTCTGATTGTATATCCGTCTCGCCTTTCACCTGAGTGTCGAGCGTCGGCCAGATCCCCTTGTAACTTCTCGCAGCGCCATTTTCTTTGTCTGATGCAATAAACCTCAAGGGTTCGGAATGCTGAAGAAGAAGAGGCATCCTTTTCGCACTGCACCACCATCATCATCATCATTTAGGAGGTCCTTTTCAGAACGTCGCTCTCATCTGTCTGAAAGCAACTCCGTCTCTCCCCAACTCTCCCACCTCATGTACTTTTATACTTAGAGAGTCACTTATATCCTTTGCCCATCTTCGTGATGATCGGCCCCTGCCCCTCCTTCCTGGTACCATGCCTTCTGCTATTATTGATTCCAGTCCGTCGTGGCGCTTGATATGACCAAAATATTTCAGCTTTCGAAAAAAGTTGTTTATTAGCCAATTTTCCTTGATGTTCAGATCTTTCAAGATGTCAGTATTTCTCCTCTTCTGTGTCCAAGATATTCTGAGAATCTTTCTATAGCATTTCAGCTCAAAAGTCCATATTCTCTTTCTTAAAGACTTGGAGAAAGTCCACGACTCACATCCGTTTGTTACTATAAGGAAAACCCGGATCGCTAGCGTAGTTGGTTAAACGGGACTGCGCGGTGACCGGGTGATGAACTCCTTGTGGTCAGGGTTCAAGCCAGGGGTAGGCAGAAAAGCCACATTTCTCCCAGATGTACGGTACCTATCATAAAATCAAGGATGAAGGGTTGCGATATCCATAGTACCGAGCCAAAGGGTTAACAACTCATGGTTTCTTGATAGTTAGAAAAAAAAAAAAAGCAGCAGGGGAAAAAAATTGCTCAACCATAGACTTTTAATGAAGCAAATTCTCTGCATTGCTATTACCATCCTCCTTTTAATTTATGTCCAACAGTCTCCATTGCTATTTATTATAGAGCCCAAATATTCACAGTTTTTGCCATTTTAAATTTCTTAATCATTTATTGTTATTTTTGGGTGACAGCCAATTTTATCTATGGACATTATCTTCGTTTTGTTTAATTTTCTTTCAATGCACCACTGACTTTAAAAAAAAAAAGTGTTTGCTACTTGCTTACGTACTTACAAAACAAAACACAAACCTTCATGGGCATTGCGATACACAGGCATCTCTCCAGTGTGATAAACGCTGTTAGAAAGCTGGTGACACGAGAGAAGGTGGAGTGAGGCCATCCAGCTCCGAGGTATATCATATCCTCTACATCAAAGGGAAGATCTGACTCTTGGAAGGCTGGGGTCATGCATAAGTTAAACCAAACCATTGTCAGAAGACACCCCTGATCGGAAACAGCGAGAGCTGAAATAACGTTGACACAAAGATATTGGGACAGAAAATATTCAGCTCTTATTTATCTCTTTTTCGCTTTCTTTGTCGGTCTCATTTTCGATCTCTTTTTCCATCTATCTCCCTCTCTATCTCTCTTTACCCATCTCGCTCTGTTCCAATACATAAAACAACAGTAATGTATGTTATATACCAGGAGAGACGGCCTAATAACTTTCAAGTGCAAAACATAAAAATAATACTTGGCATTAGCTGTCAGGACAAAATCACAAACACTGAGGTACTGGAACGAGCAGGTACTACAAGAGTCTTTTCTATGCTCAATCTACGAAGGCTCAGGTGGCTGCGTCCCACCTGGAGATTGAAGGATAGCAGAGTCCCTAAGGACATCCTTTATGGTGAATTAAAGAAAGGTAGAAGATGTCGAGGTTAGGAAGGAAATGAGAGTGAAGGAAGAAACGATTCAAGAAAGGATAAGAGCTCGGCGTCTGAAAAGAAACGGATTAAACACAAATGTTGACAACAATGGTTCTGAAATCCCATGCTATCATTGTGGAAGACTTTTCTTGACACGGGCGGGTCTTGCTAGTCACACTCGCCATCGCCATGGACTGTGAAACCCTTGCCTCCTCATAGGGCCATATTATAACTCTATCGTCTGGAAAGACGGAAAGGTGCCAGTCAATCAATCAATCATGCCGAGAAGTGCAAGAATCTGGTGAATAGCCACGATAATCAAGTACCTACTGATCCGGACACCAAGATGATCTTTAGTAAGAAGCTGAGATCAGTTTATATAGACATAGCCCTCAATGGTCGGCTCTTGATATTAGTGTCAAAACTAACACTAGGTGTACCGTAGCAGCTGGGATCGAACCCGGTATATGTTTAAAAAGTAAAAAAATGTTAAGATCACTTTTAACGCCTTTAGACACATTGAGCATAGAGGTACAGCACCAGTATTTTTAAAGAATAATCGGCACTATACCATGATAAAATTTACGCAGCCAGCAGTGGGTTTCCATCGCGGTACGTTGGAATTACGAGTCGAACTCGCAAAACCTAAGCCACGGACGCCGTCGGCATATATATATATATATATATATATATATATATATATATATATATATATATAATATATATATATATATATATATATATATATATATATATATACGTATATTATATATATATATATAGTATATGTATGTATATATATATATTATATGTATGTATATATATACATACATACATACATACACACACACGCACAGAGAGAGACTCACACACACCGATAGAGAGATAGAAACTAGAGTAAAAAAGGCAAATTTTGTCACCTACCAGTTAGCCCCACTGCTTAGACATCAGAATGTCTCCCTTCCAGCAAAACTGCAAATGATTAATAGCATCTTTACCCTACTTTATGTTGTCAGTGCCAAACATGGACAGTGAATAGTCGGCTAGAACAGAAAATATTTACATGTGACATGTGCTGCCTTCTCGAGGTCACTAACAACACAAGAAGAGACAGGGTTGCGGTTCATTAGAGAGAGAGAGAGAGAGAGAGAGAGTGAGAGAGAGAGAGAGAGAGAGAGAGAGAGAGAGAGAGAGAGAGAGAGAGTAGGAAAAGACCATGTTTGGATTATATTGACAGGCATGAATTAAATGGTTCAGCCATCTAGTGAGAATGGCGCTAGACCAGACTGCCAATGAGATATTTTACAGCAAAAAATCTGGGAATAAGGCCAGAGGAAGACCATGAAAGAGATGGATATGCAAAAAGTGAACAAATCCATCATCCAAGCCACACGAGAAGCCCAAAACAAATGCAGAAAACCACGACACTGAGCTACACCCTGGTATCAGTGAGACGACAAAAAAATTATATGTATATATATATATATAGGGCTGCCAATGGTAACTCTATGAGTCACAGCCGCGGTAGCAATGGATGGTAGTAGTCTTTTAAACTAGTTCTTCCTACAAATGAATGCTACGGCCACTGTTAGTGGTCCAGGAAACGGCGTCTTCGTTGGCTAATTGTGTAGAGTAGTATGATGAATTAGAGGGCCAACAGAGCCTTAGGCGAACTTAACGACAATGACTAAATGTACGCCACAGGTGGAGCCAAAGATGATGCACGGGACCAGAGAGTAAAACTACATCTACTCTATATCTATAAGTAGTCCTATTCACGTTTCTCGGCTCTTTTACACACTTTGTCAGTCTGGTCTACCTAAGAGAGGTGTCACGTTTACTGTTTTGTTCGAAAGGACTCTGCGGTTAGCGGGGTTGGGGTTAGGGCCAGTTCTAGATGTTCTGAGCTCGGTAAAAGCTGTGTCGTCGTTTGGTAATAAAAACGCGACACAAGACCTGCTGTAGTTAGAGGCAATATCCCGTGACACCCCTAGTTGTGGCAAGCATAAATGGAAAGTCAACCAGTGTGTACATGGGCCGTGAAACGTTAATAGGACCGTATATGCATATAGCATCAGTCACACGAAATGAATTAGTGTACATTTTTACATATTAATCGTAACTTCAAGTAGATGATAGTAATGTAGTATCATACCAAACAGAGTAACGTTGACCGTATCCCTAAACCCTTGTTTCACAAAACAAATCATGTTGACGGCGTTGGCCGCTATTCCGAAGATAGCTATGGCTTGGCAGATGCTGCTATGGATTATCCACTTGTATAAACTCAAAGCATCATTACTGACAAGTTTGTCTTGTCCCATCATTCGAAAAATGGTTTCCGTTATGTTGGGATTTCCTTGAAAACTCATAATGACTTGAGTTTATAGCATCTAAATATCTGCGAAATATACATAAATATGTTTAATTATTGCCAGAGAAATGCAAAGAAATACGCAATCATTTTAAGATTATTGTTAACAATGCGACCGAAATACTATGTGCAATGATTTTGGCTATTTAACATTGTTTTAGATGATAGTGTTTCATTGTGCTAGAGTTTTTAACCTGCATGTATGGCAAGAAGCCCATCGCCCAACCCCCAACTGTATAACGAATGTTATTACGAAGAGAAGGACATACGAAAACAAACATCCACAGCGGCGCAATTATTAAAAATATACAGAAAACTCCGACAATAATTGTCGTGTCAAATAACGTGAAAGAAAATAATCATAAACAACTGGTAATTAAGTGTCCACATGTCTATTTAGTTAGTTATTATTGAGCATTATAATTAGAGCACTCTAGACGGTTTCTTAAAAGCACCACTATCATAAAACGCCTGTTTTGTGTTGATTGTTTGTTTATTTGTTTTAGTGTCTAGAAGCCATGTGTGTTAATCATTAGGCTCGGTGTTATAGATATCGCAACCTTTTGGCCTTGATTCCATTGTAAATACCCTAAATTTGTGAGAAATGCGGCTTTTCTGCCTACCTCCGGGGGTGAACCTGGACCACAAGGAGTTCGTCACCCGGTCACCGCGCAGTCCGGTTTAGCCAACTACGCTAGAGAGCCGGGCTTTGTGTTGGTTAATCGTGAAGTGTTCATTCACTGCATTTGTAGGTTGCACCCAATGTCCGTCAACCGAGATATAGGTAACTGATTAACACCATCAGATCTGTCCAGTACCCGACCAGCAATAGCAATCGAAGTGTCAACAAGATAATCAGCATGCACATTGCATGGAACACCTTCATAGACCGGTACACATAACAGTTTGAATAGCCATTCACGATGTCTTCTTCTTCTTCGTGTTCATCCAGCTGTAAACTCTGGAGGAAAATTATGGGTGTTCGTCCACTTCTGGACTGCAGTCCTGTTCCAGAAGCTGAGTGTTACTGGTGCATCCGTTTCACATACCCGGCTCATGTGTATGCAGACTGCTGGTTCCTTGTCTCTCAGACAGATGCATTCCAACTTCGAAAAAAGCTCCCATTTAGTCGACTCGTACGACATACTGTTGGGTAGACAGTAGGTCTATTTTTGTGTACCCTATAACAGGGCCCCGGAACCCACACGGGATTAAAAATAGAAATTAGCATTTCTACGCAAAGAGCAGCTTGCACCGCTTGTTAAGACTCTGATAGGAGCATATCATGGATTTTCTGCCTATGATCTTCGGGTATGGATGATAATGAGCACACTGATTGATCAACTAGCTGCTTCCGCTCCTCTGATTGGTACGCTACGCCGTAATAAAGCAGAAGTAAAGAAGGCTGTCTGGGATCAAGTGGGCATTGCAGCAGAACAAGCCGTCTCCATGCACTGAGGGGCTAAATTAGCAGGCGGTGAGCAGAGCTTCTGGAAGATATTCAACACTAAGGGCAAAACATGTTAATAAAGGTAGGTAGGAAGTTGTACCCCCCCCCCTCCCCCATCACATTACACAAGCGATAAACACCTGGTGATACTATGCGAATGAGGATCACCTGTGGAGAGGTCCCAAAAACCCCTTTCAGCCGTTAGGCCAAATCTATGTCCCGGCTATATTTTCTCCCCCGCAGAAGCCAGTGTGGGGCTATAAATAACAAAAGAATTGCATCCCACAGATGGACGACTAAAAATATGTTTAAACATATACTATTGGGATATCGACTCGTTGTTGGCTACTAAGGAGGGAGACAGATGACATGTGGGAATGTCTCAAACGCAGAGGATGCCAGTTCTTCATTCATTATATTGATTTAAGTACGAGAGGTGATACATCTGATCAACATTCTTTTAAATAAAACTAATCACTACAATAACCAACCGCTTTTATATGTCTGAGAAATAATTTCGCTGAATCCAAGTCGTGTAGCCACGAGATCTGCTACAGTTGTGTCTTTAGTTTTTGCATGTTGATGGTCAAAAGAGAAGAATAGCAAAGTGTCCTGCTTCTGTCGAACAGTCACAAAGATGTAGAGTAGCGCTTTGTCTGTTCCGTTTACTTATGTGTGTGTGTGTGTGTGTGTGTGTGTGTGTGTGTATGTACGTGTGTCTGTGTGTGCGTGCGTGTGTGTTTGTGTGTATGCATACATTAATTAATCGTCACTGGTTCAGGTGCCAGTTATTTACAGCATACAACGTCTAGCATGTAAAACACAGTTTAATGTATTTAATTATTCCTAATCATGCGCCGTCTTCACAGTGAAGGGTGGCTGCAATATATCTTCTTAGTTTTAACTTTAAATAGTAGTTCTATTTATTAGCCTCATAAGGCTGGATAATGCAAAAAAAAAAAAAAAAAAAAAAAATTAATTCCATTTTATGACTTTTATCATAGGTTACTTGCATCGGCAATTCAATGATGTAATTTATTTGCATATGTCTCGGAAGCTGACATATTCTAGCCGTATCAGGCATTATGGCCGACGTGAACTAGGACTTCTAGTAATTCCTTCTGGTCTCTGGGTAGTGAGACCGGACGCACGTATGTGTTATTGCGAACGTGTAAAAATCCCTTGGCAGTTGTAAATCAAAAAGAGTTGCCTAACGGCGCTGCCCAGGCGAAATTTTGATTTAAAATCTACCCAAAGTATTTAAGGATCCTCGCCGGTGCCAAAGAGCCTTGAACTGTGATGAGCTTTTTTTGAATCAAACTTGAATTAGATAGAAGAAGAACGAAGCACGTATGGGTTACTACCCGTGTTCCATGATGTTGATCCGTTGTTCAAAGCTCAAACCAGTATACAGTCGCATCATGACTCTGCGATTGCTACATCGCACAAATCATGTACAAACCGACGAATGCATACATAATGAAACGATTACGAAATCTCACATTGTTTTTTACTGATTTAAAACAAACCCGTAATTCGGTATAGTTTTTCATTCATATAATTCGTTAAATACGAAAACTGTTTGTTATTCTAGGATATATGTTTAAAAAAAAAAAAAAACAAATTAGATTACTCAATTTACTTTTCCGTAAATATAAAAGCTTCCTTTTGATCCATAAAACCATATTTATATATAATAATGGAAAATAATTATAGAATGTTTTCAGATATCTTGAAAACTGCACCTAGAAATTTTACCTCTAGCGGTATAATCAAACATCGCAATGTGTCGTTTCTCTCGAACTGGAAAGTGTTTTGACATTATAACTTTTTGTTACTAAATGGTTTACTGGCTGCTATATAAGCGATGATTCTTCAAGATGTACTAGTGAACAAATCAATTATCTCTCAGAATCAAAGGAGATAATGATTTGTCTAACGCGTCTTCCTGATTGCAGTGAAGCTGAAACCTTCACTACGACTAAGGCAAACGAGCCTTCCGGGCAGAAAAGGTAACGACAAACTGGGTGGTTTCACAGGGGAAAAAATAATGCTTTTGCGAATAAAGTAAATTGATGTCGATTATTTCTGCAAGATTCTTCACATTAAAATCAGAGGATGTTGGTAGACATAAGTGAGGTAAATACATATGTCAATATTCAGAGATATCAGTGCAAACCTCACAAATGTATACTGTTAAAGATAGCTGTATATACATTACATGACGTGTTAGATAGGTTATATCATCGATTGTCTTATAAGTTTCGTGAGCTCAGTCCGTTTTGTTGGCACGTTTCTGTCTCACCAGACGAAAGTATTACTGTGTGCTATGGCGGATGGGGATCGGGCCCATGCAAAACACAGCCCATTGTTATGACAAGTGTCACCAGGAAGACCATCCCTCGTAAAAAAAAAAAAAATTGCCACTGTTAGGACATGAGATTTCAGGAACTCATCATGGCCCACATTCTTGACAGTTTTGTAGAGACTATGTATTGCCCATGCATCAGGATCCCCTTGTCTGCCTACCTTGTTTATTCCAAAGGAAAGGTGACACTATAGGTTTAGATGGGTTCGGTTGTGTCCTTCTTTCCAGATGCCTATTTGTCGTGTCAGTCTTGAGTAAAAGTAAAGACCTTTTGCATGTCAGTAAGTGATCGCGCATATGGTGCCAGACTTATATCTTCATACACATAGGGCATCGTGCCAGACTTACATCTTTATACACATAGGACATCGCACTAGACTTATATCTTTATACACATATGAAATCGCGCCAGACTTATATCTTTTTGCACATAGGGCATCGTGTCAGACTTATATCTTTATACACATAGGACATCACAACAGACTTATATCTTTATAAACATAGGACATCGCACCAGAATTTTATCTTTGTGCACATAGGGCATCGCGCCAGACTTATATCTTTTTACACATAGGACATCGCACTAGACTTATATCTTTATACACATAGGAAATCGCGCCAGACTTATATCTTTATACACATAGGACATCGCGGCAGACTTATATCTTTTTGCACATAGGGCATCGTGTCAGACTTATATCTTTATACACATAGGCTATCCCACCAGACATTATTTTTATACATATGCGGCATCGTGTTAGACTTATATCTTTATACACATAGGGCATCCAACCAGACTTATATCTTCACACAACGATGGACCACATTGTGTGTTGTGGTCAAACATTGAATTGACTCCACAATACATTACCTGGTACCTAGTGTAGGCTGGGTCGACCATGAAGCCCATCCCCTGTCCTTTTTTTTAAAAATCTGTGACTTATATTTACGCGCTAAGGACCGGTATACTCGCTGAAGGCTAATAGGCGGCAGACGGCTATGCTTTGTTAGACAATGGTATTTGGCATTGACTGTTCAGTGAACTTGTTATAAACGTAAAATTGCCTAGAAAATCTGCAAACAATCATCAAATGTTGGGTTTCGTTTACAACGTCCTAATACGTGTTTAAAGATATTCAAAGTAAAGATCCATTTTCACGCTTATAGGCGTATCGGGTATATGTG